GGCTTCGAGATTGTCCCGAGAGACGCCCGAGATGACCGAGGGCGCCCAAGATGGCCGAAGAGGGCGCCTAGGCGGACCAAGAGGCCCGAGAGACGGAAGCAACAGTTGTTTCAATGGGCCCCCGAGACGCCTAGAGACGGCCCCAAGAGACCCCTCATGCGCCCCCTCCGTCGTATGTCCAAGAGGCTCCAGGACGGCCCCGCCACGGCGAGGTGCGGCCAACGCATGCTTCACTGTTTGCGCAGTGAGAGTTAAGACGCGCCGCGACTGTTCAAGAGGGCCCAAGAAACTGCCTCGAGGCGCCCGCAATTTGGTTGAGGCCATTGAAGGAGCAGCTGGGGCACTCCCTCGCATCGTGAGAGCGTGCCGAACCGCTCCCAGCGGCCTCCAGGACACCGTGGAGCTGTGTCTCCTGGGTTTAGTGGTGCCTCGGCCAACGCTTGTGACGAAACGCCAGCCGCGCTCGTTCATTGGATTGGCGGTCCGACAGCCAGCGCGCTGCTCAATCCGGTGCCTCATATTTCTCATGTTTCTCTCCTTCGGATAGCGCCCTGGGGGCGGACCCCCAGGCGATCCCGCGATGCCCGAACGAAGCGCCAAGACAGCCTGAGATGGGCCGCGGAAAAGGGGCTGATCGATGGCCGCAATGGGGCTCTGCAGGTCGCAGACGCTCGTGCCGCGCTTGAGATGATGTGTTTATTTTGTGTACCCTTGGGTCTTAGGGTATTCTTGTCACCCGGCGAGTACCGGTTTCGGTTGCGGGTTCGTTTCTTCGTCTCCGCGTCCGCATTGAACCGGCATTTGCCAGTCACCGCGGTGCTGCCTCTTGTCGGCCGCGCGCGGTATGTTTACCCTTGCGCATTCGTTGGTCTCGCTCTTTGGCTTCCAGGCCGCATTTTTCCAAGCCGCAGCCATGCTGTGTTGGTTGCTGGGTCGTCGTTTTGAAGAGACAACGCCCCGCGTTCACTTCTTTCCTTCCTCCTCCCCTTCCTCCCTCCTCCCACCCTCCTTCTGCCTTGCATCTGTCTTCAACTCATCGCCATCCTGCGTGCCGCGCCAGGTTTGGCATGCCCCTCGCACGGTTCGTGGCCCCATAGGGCACACCCCTCAGACGTTTCGTGGCCCCACTAGGAACTCCACCGAACGCCTTAGTGGCCGCGGTCGCAAGCGGCCCCGCCCCATTTCGGCGCGCCCGACGCACGTTTCGTGGCCCATATGGAGTTTTATTGAAGGACCCAATGTCTGCGGTCGTATGCGGCCCCGCCTCATTTCGGCACATCCCTCGCGCTTCGTGGCCCCATAGTGAGCTCCACCGAAGGTACTTTTGGGTACGGTCGCGTGCAGCCGCCTCATGTCGTGTTTCGTGGCCCCTTAGGGAACCCCGCCGAAGGCCCAAGTGGCTGGGCCCGCGCATGGCGCATGGCGATCCTGTCCATAACCGCCAATTGTTTGCAAATGGTTGAGTTTGTCGCCAACCGAAACTATTGACGTTGTGTCATCAGCAGCGTGCCCAGAGGCTCCGTGCGTGCAAGGCGGGGCGCGCGCGCGACGCCGTGCGCGCCTTTGGGTGGGGCGGGCCGTGCTTGGGCTTTGTGGGCACGTTTGGGGCTCCTGCTGGGGTCTCTCGGGGATTTTTCGGGGCCTCTGCAGAGCTGGGGTGCTTGCTGCCCGGCGGTCGGAGGCGCATTCCTACCGGGTGAGGACAACGCCGTGGTTCTTCAGGAGTGGCTGGCATCGAGTGGCTCGGGCCTTGCACTGCGCTGAAACATGTGGTTTGTGGCTGGCCAATTCTGGCCGGCACCAGTCAAGCCTCGGGCAACGAGAGGCTAGTGGAAGATTAGAGACACTGGCGCTCTTCCGCCGACCCCCAGACGAGGATTTGTGCGGCTTCCGATTCTGTGTGTGTTGTTCGTCAGCGTGCTTCCGACCACGGCGTGGATCCGCGCCGCTGCGACCAAGACGCTTTGTTTGTCAGTGCCAGTCGTGCTCAGGAGGCTTCAGACCCTGGAGGACTCCTTGACTGATGAGGGCGGCGGTGGCGGTGATATCCGTGGCCAAGCCCCAATTGGTGCTCCACTGGCTTCCAGACCCCCAAGATTCCCCATCCTAGGGTTCCTTATCCAATGCTTCCACCGTGCATTGCGGAGGCCTCACGGCCCAACCGAAGGTCGATCCGTGAGGGGCGGGGGCCATGCCGGGCGCTCCGAAAGGAATTGGCGAAGCCCCTGCCCCAAAGCGGCTCTCGCTGAGGCGAAGCCGTGCCCTGTCGCCTCGCTGGCGTGTCAGCTGTGGGGCTGGGCCAGCCGAGTTCTTTTGTGCAAGTAACCCTGCGTCCGCAGACCAACGGCGATCAAATGTGCCCCCACCGTATTTGTTGCTGATTCGTTTTCCTCTTCATCCGCGTCTGCTGCGGGGCCTCTTGGGGGCCTCTCGGAGGCTTCCATAGGGGGCAGCCCCTTCGAGCTTCTTCAGTGCCACTGGGGGCTTTTGGGGGGCCCTTTGCGGGCTTTCCTGGGGGCCTCTTGGGGGCGTTCTGGGGGGCTTTGGGTGCAATTTTGTGTGAGTGTGGGGGGGTCTCCCGGGGTCCCTGCGGGTTCTCCTGATCGGGCTCTTTTTTCTGCCCTCTTGGGGCTTCTTTGGCCATCTTGGGGCCCTCTTGGGCCGTCTCTGGGCGGTCTTGGGGGGCACTTGGGCTGTCTTCGGCCAGGTTGGGGGGATTTTCGCGTGTTTTGGGCTTGCAGACGCCCGCAAAGGCGAGAACGCGAGAACCATTGGAAGCAATTCTGATGATCAAGTAATTACGTTTGTCTGTTGAAGTCTTCTTCGGGGTCCTCTTGAGTCCACCTGTTTCGGCGTCGTGGTCCGTTTTGAAGCTATTTTGGGCTCCTGAGGCCTCCGACGCGTTAGAGCCTGTCACTTGCCATCAGGAGGGTTGATTTTGAGGCTGGGGTTCCGAGGGCCCTGGAGGGACTTCGACGAGCTCGTCTCCCCTCCCATCTGACGGGATTTTTTGGCTCCAGGGGAGTGTGGACTTGGTAGGGCTGACAGCCAATCGTGTCACACGCCTTTTTCACCTGGGGTCCTCTTGGGGTCATCTCGGAGGCCTCCTGGGCCTTCTCATGGTCATCATCTTTCTCTTTCCTTCCCTTCCCTTTGCTTTCCTCCTGCTTGCTGCAAATCAAAAGCACCAAACAGACGACATTTTGTTTGTTTGTTGTTTTTGTTCTGCTTGTCTGTTTGTTTGTATTTTTTGGTTTGGGGAGCAATGGACGACTTTTTTTTGGGGGTGGGGTGGAAGCTCAAGTGTGCCCCGCGGCCTCCCCCTCAGCACCTCCTCCTTCTTCCCCTTCCCCTTTCCCCCTTTTTCCTGTCTTTCCTCACCGTGCAACGTATTTGGCCCCCTTGGTACCACGAAGCGTTTACTGGTTTGTGGATATTGTCGGCTCGGGAAGCAACGGCACACTTTGTTTTGGTTTTGGAGGCCCCAGAAGAGAAGAACGATATGGTGTTTGGGGGGGAAGGCCGCCGGGGGCGCTTGAGTTTCCGAAGCGAAGAACCAAGTTTGGCTGTGGAAGCCCAAGTGCTCTCCGCGCCCCCCCCCAGCGCCTCCTCTTTCTCCCCGTGCCCCTTTCCCCCTCCTTTTCCTTTCCTTTCCTCCTCCTTGCTGCAAAGCAAGAACACCAAGAAACCAGACTGCTTGGCGCGTTCGGTGCCACGGATCTTTTTTTGTTTGGGGGGGGGTTTGGGAAGCAACGAATTACTGTGTATTTTCGACTTGTTTTTTTTGGGGGGGGATTTGAAAGCTCAAGTGCTCCCCGCGGCCTCCCCCCAGCACCTGCTCCTTCTCCCCCTTCCCCTTTTCCCCTCCTCCCTGTGTCCTTTCGTCCTCCTTGTTGCCAACAATGAACGCCAGTCATACAACGTGTTTGGTGTCCTCGGTGTCACGAAACGTTTTTTTTGTTGATTGTTGGTTGTTTTGTTTTTTCGGTGTGGGTCTTTCTGAAGGGGTTGTGGAGGCTAGGGACGAAGGAGGTTGAGGTGTTGGGGGGGAGGCCGCGGGGAGCCTCTGAGCTTCCAATGCAAAACAAACAAATCAGACAGTCCAACATACACAGTGTTTCGTTGCTTCCCAAGCCAAAACTACCCCCCCCACACCAAACATACAACAGCGTTTCGTGGCACCGAAGGCGTCAACCACTTTGTGTTCTTGGTGTTCTTGATTTGCAACATGGACCAGGAACGGAGAAGAGAGGGATGGAGATATGGGGCAGGTGGAGAAGGAGGAGGTGCTGGGGAGGATCCCTGGGGGAGCACTTGAGCTTCCCAAGCCAGGAAAGCCAAACAAACCAGCAATACACGGCTTTTCCTTGCACCGAAAGGTAGAATGAGAGAGAGAGAGAGAGACGACGAATGATATGACAAACAAAAGGAATTGCAGGAGGATGAATAACAGAACATGTATGATCATGTGTGGGGGGCTACCATACATCAGCGTCAGTCGTCGGCACATCCGCCTTCGACCGACAGCCCTCTAAAGATGACGATGCTGCTGATGATGGTGGTGATGAGGATCAGGATGTGGATGATGATGATGATGATGATGATGATGATGATGATGATGATGATGATGATGCTGATGATGCTGATGATGACGACGCTGATGATGATTATGATGATGACGATGTTGATAATGATGATGGCGATGATGAGGATGCCAATGGTGTTGAGGTTGAAGATGAAGATGTAGATGCTGGTGATGGTGATGGTGATGATGATGGTGGTGATGATGATGATGATGATGATGCTGTTGCTGCTGATGATGCCATTGTGATCGTCATCGTCATCGTCATCGTCATCGTCGTCGTCGTCGTCGTCGTCGTCGTCGTCATCGTCGTCGTCGTCGTCGTCATCGTCATCGTCATAGTCATCCTCATCGTCATTGTTTCCTTTATAATTGAGCCGTTCCAGGAAGCGCCGCACGGGAGCGCGCCCGCGGCGCCATGCAGCGCAGGCGTGCAGGCGAGCTGCTGCTCGCCGGCGCCCTCGTCCAGTCGGCGGGACGCGCGGCGGCGCACAAGTGGCACCTCATCAGGCACCACAACTGCTTCAACCACAACGGCGGCTATCGGGTGAGCGACCTCGTCAATCCGTTCGAGGAGCCGATCACGCTGCAGGACCGTGGGCCCGCGAGGTGGGGGGGCAACCTCTCTAATTTTTGGGGGGGGGCGAGGCGTGACGGGGAAACGGCTGGGCCAAGTGGAACTTGCGCTTTGCATTGTTTGCCCAGGATGCCTCCCGGGGTCTCCGCGGCGGAGGTCCCTGGAGGCCTCGAGTTCCTGGAGGCCGCCGGAGGCCCCCCGGAGCATCCAGGCTGGATCTAGACGGGCCAGGAGCCTGCGGTTCCCGAGAGGAGTGCCAGAAGAAGTGCGAGGACGAGGCCTCGTGTTCGGGAGTGATTACGATCCGCAGACATTCGGAGCCAGGCCAGCCACCCGAGGGCCCGTGCTGGCTGCGGACGGATGTGAAGCCAAAGGAATGTTTCTACGATACCTCTGAGCCGTGGGACTTGCATGTCTTGGAAGGGCGCGGCGTCGACCTCAGCGGGATCGAAGACGGCAGCATGGGGGACTCAAGCGTTGACCCTGATCACCATAGGCATTCCTCGCCATACGAGTTGTTCGGGCACGTCGGTGCAATCATCATAGCATCATTTGCGTCCTCGACCAGCACCTCATGGGAGAACGCTCGAGCTCTGTTGGTGCCTCTCCTCGCGATCCTTCTAATCTTCCTCCTGCTGGTCATTTGTTGCCTGACGAGCCTCGTGTTGAGGGAGGCAGGCCTGATCAGGAAGGCCAGAAAAGAAGACGACGCGAGGCAGCCGGCGCTGTCGGAGAGCGACAAGGTGGTCTTCGCGGAGATGGACGCAGACGGCGACGGGGTCATCCGACCGCCCAATCCTGGTGCCCCGCGGGACCAGGGGCCGCGAGACCGCACGGGGCGGCTCGGCGGGGGCTCCCTCGAGGGGATCCCTGGGGAGCCCCCTGAAGTCGGCTATGCCTCGGGGCCGCCCCCCCGTGCGATCCGCACGGGGCAGTAGACCCAGAGGGCCCGAAACCTGCAGGGGCGAAGGGCAACCGCCTCCAGAGGACCCCCAGGCCCCCAGGAGCGCAGGAATCCATGATAATACTTCCAGGACGAACGACAAAGCGTTTCAATAGCCAGACACCCGATGTCTTTACTTGCTTCAAGGCGGGGCCCCCCAGAAGTCCCGACCCTGAGCCCAGGGCGGGCTTTCCATCCCGAGTCGTCTTTCGACAGTCCTGGAGCCCACAAAGTGCCCCAAGAGGTCGAAAACGGCGAACTAACATGTGTATGTTGTTTTTGTAAGACGTTGGCGATCTGGGGTCTTGAGGTCGACTCTCCCACCGTCTTGGACCTCTGGGGCCTCTGAGCCTCTTTGGAGCATGCACCCCAGCCTCGCCTAGCAGGACGCCTAGCTGGCGCCCGGGCCCCCGGCCGCTGCGACCCAGGTCTGCCAAGCACGTGCAGGCAGCCGACGTTGGGACCAGGTGGCGTGGTTACACGCCCCTTTCCCACCCACTGCTGCTGGAAGACATGCGGCAGCGTCGCGTGCCATCGCTTCCTCAATGTGCTATCGATTCGTGCCCCGCCCCAAGTCTTCCACCGGGCCGACGGGGTGCCATAGCTCTCCGAGGCCCGATGTGGCTGACTAGTTCGGCTACAGCTGGTTCGGGCGGCCTGTTGGGCTGATTTTTCCCAACCATCCTGTGGTGTTGGGTTCTCGTTTTGAAGAGACAGCGCCCCGCGGTCTCACTCCTCCTCCCGCTCCTCCCTCCTCCCATCCTTCCCCTCCCACGGTTCGTGGCCCCATCGGGAGCCCCACCGCAGGCTCTAGTGGGAAAGTTCGAATGCAGTTTCACCTCCCCCTTTCGGCGTACCTCTCATACGGTTCGTGGCCCCATAGGGAGCTCCACCGAAGGCTCCAGTGGGAAAGTTTGCGTGCAGTTCCACCCCCCATTTCGGCGCACCCCTCACACGGTTCGTGGCCCCATGGGGAGCTCCAACAAAGGCCCCAGTGGGAAACTTCGCATGCAGTTCCACCCCCCATTTCTGCGTACATCTCACACGGTTCGTGGCCCCATAGGGAGCTCCACCGAAGGCCCCAGTTGCAGGGCTTGCATGCAGTTGCACCCCCTCTTCTCGTATGTTTCGTTGCCCCATTGGGAGCTTCACAGAAGACGTTACTCCCAGTTACCGTACTCACAACTGCATATGGTTGGGTCCTTCGCCAGGGTAATGTTTTTTGTTGCTATTGATGGGCACGGGACCTTGTGAGGATTCCGGGGGATTCCTGAGGATTCTTGAGGATTGAAGGATTCCCCAGGACCGCTGAGGAGGCCTCAGGATTTCTGTTCGAAGCCTCCTGGGGGCCCCAGGATCCGTCAGAGGCTTTTTCGAGATTCTTCAGATTTCAAGAGAGTTCCTTAGGATTCCTTTCGGCTCGTCAGGATTTCCCAGCGTTCCGCAGGATTCCTGAGGAGATTGTAGGGTCCGTCAGTATTCAGCAGATGCCTCTGGGCTTTCCAGGACTCTTCATGATTCTGTCGGATCATGCAGGCTTCCGTAGCTCGCTCTCTTGTTCGCCGAATTTAATCTTCTGCAGGATTTGTCCTCAGGACCTCGGAGGGTCCTCAGGGATCTTCAGGGGTTTTTAGGATCCTCCGGATTTTTTCCCGGACTCCGTAGTACTCCTCAAGATTCCTGGACAGAAGCCTCACAGAAAACGACAATTGTTCACGCTACAGGGGCCCTGTTGCCAGATGGACGTGTGTAGGCTCATTGGTTGCTGGGCTTACTTCGCCGCTCAGCGCCTTCGAGCCGCTCGACCGACCAGCGCGCTCGCCAGGTCTGCGACAAATATGTGGTAGGCACAGGACCAGGAACTTTAACTCAGCAGGCTTGTTGCGGGATTGTTGAGGAGCGGGCCGACAAGTCCGTGGGCGTCCTTTTGGAACATCCACGGCACGTGCGGCCTGGTGTACGGGCCAGGAGGTCCAGTGGCAATGTTGTGCTCGAGTTCTCATTTCTGGAAAATGGCCCTCATATTCTCGTCCTCGCTGCGCTCCAGCGGTCTCTGCAGCTTCTCGGCCCCAGCGCCCCGGCGCGAGGCTCCGCGTCCGCTCGCGGCCGCCGCGTCGCGCGCCAGGGGGCGGCCATCCAGCGGGCGTCGCGCAGGCCATTCTGGACATCTACGCGGTCACCGCCTTCATTTTTGCAGCCCGCGTGGGTTCAGGTTCGGACGGGGCGGCTCTTTCGCCCCGTTCGTCTTGAACCTGCGTTGGGATCGACTGTCCGCCGTAGGCGGACGGTCGTCTTGAGCAGTGGGCCTTGCCCACTGCTGCAGTTGATCGCTACCGCAGTCGCGGCGGCGGTCATCTGGGAGCTTGGCTCTGGGAGCCTTGTCTCCAACTTACCTCCTCCCTCTCCCAGCCTTGCCCTCTTGGCCCTCTGGGCGGCGGAACAGCCTTCGTGGGAGAGGTGGAGGACGAGGACGGGGAACTCCCACGCCCGCGCTACGCAAAGCACTGTAGCGCAGTGCTGCTCCCGTCCGACCCTCGGGCCCAGCCGTTCGAGGAAGAGACGCCACTCGCGCATCAGCCGTCGACTGCCGCTGACTCTCGCGGGGTCACTCTCGCTGGTGCCCGCCTGGTAGTGGGCAGCGCGGCCAGAGGTGCGAAGAAAGCTTCGCTCGGGATGGAGGAGCAGGAGTTGGTGGGCCCTTGTTGTCTCCGCCTCGATCGCGGCCTCGTCTTGGCTCAACTGCTTCGCTGGGCAACGTAGCCCTCGTGGGGGCACCGCCAGGCGCGCTTCCGCCTCTGGCTTTCGAGGTGCGGGACGTGCGCCCTCCAGCGGCCGCTCGCCTCGAGAGGCCTCGGCCCCCTACAGTTTCCCGGGCCCCTCCTTGCGGCCCGTGGTGGGGGTCCAGGGCGGGCGCCTCCTCTTGCCGCCAGGCCTCGCCGAGGGGGTCGCCCCCTCGTCATGGCCTTTCGCCGGCCGTCGAAGTCGGGCAGGGCGGGGGCTCTGCTCGATCGGAGGCCGTGGACGACCTGCGACGCGCGGTGCCTCCCACGCCCGATGAGGCGGCGGACGGTACGGCCCCAAGCGGAATTGAGATGGTTGGCGTGCGGCGCTCCAGCGATGCTGCTGCGGCCCCGCAGAGAGAGCTTTGTACCGCTTGCCCAGCTGCCGCCGTGGCTCGCAAGCTCGGCTCCCCGCCGTGGAGCAGTCCAAAGGCCGCCTCGCGCTCGCACGCTGACTTCCCGCCCCGTCCAGGGTTGGAGCCGCCTTCTTTACCACGAGCATGGCAGACGGGCGCGCCGCGGGGCCCAGTTGCTCTGCGCCCGCGGGTTGCCTCCGCATTGGCGACCGTAGCGCCGTTTTGGGGCGCCACGTCGTCCGTCGCAATCGCTCCGCCACGGGGCCTTCCGTCAGGTGGACTTCTTCGCCCGCCCCCTGGTTTGGGTTTTGGGCCACGCAGCGAGGGCGCGCGCGCGGGCCCACCAAACTTATGGGCCCAGGCGCCCTCGGTTACGAGGGGGAGATCCCTCTCTGGGTTTCTTTGGGGGCTCTTCGGGGCATGCTATCTTGTTGCGGAGGGTTACCGCGGTCCTTGCGATTCCCCTTCTTCGGCCCCTCTTGAGGTTCCGTTTGGCCGTCTTTGGGGCCTGTCGGGCTGTTTCCAGGCCCTCTTGGGGGCCTCTTGTGCCGTCTTGGGCTGGTCTGGGGTTTTCAGAGGCCAGAAATGCGAAAACGCGTTAACCACCCAAAACACTTATTGCACTCACTGCCTTTCTTGCCCTGTAGGCCCTTTTGATGACCGTATTGATGCTCTTTAGAGGTGTCTTGGGCCGTCTTGAGGCCATCTTGGGTGTGCTTGACGCTTCTCTGGCGTGTTAGGGTCCTCTTGGAGTCATGGTGGAAGGCATTTGGGGCATTTTGGCGGGCGCGGAGGGTGGATATAGAGGCTGCGAGGAGGCTGCGAGGGCCATGCGGTGCGTTGACGAGCGTGTGCCTTCCCCCCCACTTTGATGGGATTTTGGACCCTGGAGGAGGGAGATGGGGGAAATGGCAGGGGGTCAGCCGAGTGTTGCACACGCAATTACACTCCCACGCGAATCTAGGATCCGCGGTCTCGCCTGGGATGTCCTCACGATCAGTTCAACATTCGCACATGAATGTCCCGCCCGCCCGTCCTGCCCGCTGGGGTCCGCCCGCCCGACCCGCCCGCCAGTGTCTGCCCGCGCGACCCGCCCTTCAGGGCCCGCCCTCCCGACCCGCTCGCGAGTTCCGCTGGATTGCCTGCGTGGAGGGCAGCCCGCCATGTTTACTCGCTCGACCAGCCTGGCAGGTTCCGCCTGCTCGGTCCGGTCGCTTGAATGTCCCGCCCGCTCGACCCGCCCGGGAGGGCCTGCCCGTACGTTTGCGGGGAAGTCCAGCCGCCCGATTTAATGTCCCGCCCGCCCTGTCCGCTTGTTAAGGCCCGCCCCGCCCGCTGGGGTCCGCCCGCCCGCCCCGCCCCATCGGGTTCGCCCGCCCGATACCTGCCTCTCTTACCCCGACGGGGTGTACCCAGTCGTCAGGACAACAGAGGTGCTTCCGCAAAGGGGGCATGCTCATAGACGAGGAGGGCGAGTGTCCACATTGTGGGTATGCATGGTGAACGACAGACACGCGATCAGCGAAGAGCAAACATTCTTTGACGGATTGAATTCCCATTGCTGAAGAATTATTATTGTTGACCCCCCCCGCCGGTGACCATTCTGCGTTTTTCCTGGCCATCGTGTGGTGTTGGGTCAGCGTTTTGAAGAGACAGCGCCCCGCGTCCCTCCTCCTCCTCTCCTCCTCCTCCCCCTCCTCCCCCTCCTCCCTCCTCCCTGCGTTTCACCCACCGAGTACAGCGTTTCGTGGCCCCATATGGGGCTCCACCGAAGGCCCCAGTGGCACCGCCCGCATGCGTCAGCCACCACCCAGTACAGCGTTTCGTGGCCCCAAAGGGAGCTCCACCGAAGGCCCCAGTGGCA